TTAATATATGTGTTACATCAAAACTTGCAAAAATAAACACCTTTCAAAAAGGAAATGTCTCTGAGCTTAATTTTTTTGCACATGTACTGCATTGCTTTTTATGTAATTCCATACATTTACTTTTATAGCCCCTCCCAAATTTTACTTGCATTCCTGTTCTCTAAAGGGGCGGTCCTAGGGTTTGATGAGGGCGTGGCCAAGTTTGGGTGGGGGCGTGGCCAGGGGAGGGAGGTGAGTTCCACCACCTTTTCTCTGAGAAAAAAAGCCCTGAGGACAAGAAGCAATGGGTGGAAGCTAACCAAAGAGAGAAGCAACCTAGAACTAAGGAGAAACTTCCTGACAGTTAGAACAGTTAACCAGTGGAACAACCTGCCTCCAGAAGTGGTGAATGTTCCAACACTGGAAGTTTTTAAGAAGAGACTGGACAGCCAGTTGTCTGAAATGGTATAGGGTTTCCTGCCTGAGCAGGAGTTTGGACTAGTTATCCTCCAAGGTCCCTTCCAACATCATCATCATCATCATCATTAACATCACCACCACCACCATTATTATCATCATCATCATCATCATCATCATCATCATCATCATCATCATCATCATCATTATTATTATTATTAGAAAAGCAATGTGTCTATGGCCCTAATGCTACAATGGGACCATCTCTGCTTGCAGCCAATAAAACACAATAGTACAACATGGTCGATGCGAGAACAAGGAACTATGAAAAGGAAACAAGGATTTCACGATGGACGCTTGTTCCAAAGACAGCATTTGGCAGCCATTTAACAGGTTGTCAGAAAAACATAAAGCAGGACAATTATGTTACCATGGTAGGATTCAAATTGCAATTATTCCGACATTCTTTAGGTGCGTTGCTTCCATTTAAAATGATGCTATTCCAAATTGCAATCAAGAGTAATGAAAACCTGGCTTACAAGGAAAGGCCACCGTACCTCAATCACCGCCTCCCTCCCATAAATAAAGACTATTATTTTCACAGAAAAAAATTAGCCTTATTACATACGAGCAAACAGAAAAGGAATTCTTACTTCAGCTGAGCTTTAAGTTCCGTAAATCGCGGACGCCTGCTGGGATCATACGCCCAACATTTGGTCATGAGGCTGTAGAGAGTAGGCGGGCAGTTGGGCGGCATCGGCAAGCGCTCGCCGTTTTCGATCCGGCCAATCACGTCGTTGTTCTTCACCCCTTGAAAAGGCTTAATGCCGTGCATTAAGATTTCCCACATGCATACACCTGGGAAGCGGGGGGAAAAAAGAACAGCAAACTCTTCTGAAAGCGAGCCGGGGAAGTGAAACTGAATACTGCACTCAGAAAAGGCCTCAGCCCGGCTTAAATCCTGAGATAATAAAAGTGGAATTCTTACTCATGTCTCCAGGTAGTGGATGACTCTCTGTCTGAGAATGGGTAGCAATGATTTATTGGAAATGACACGAGCTGGCAAGCAAACGTAGCTACTAACAAGCTTCTGAGAAATGAACTCTGGACATACCCATATATATATTTTTTAATAACCATTACAATTTACTACGGTATCGACGAAGGAGGAAAAGATGCAGCCGGTTAATATCGGCCCCGAGAAGAAAAAAAACATAAAAAGGGAAATTTTGTTTCCGTGCAAATTGCTGAGACATCCTGGGGGAACCATCAAGGTTTAGATGCCCCACCTCTTTTGGGCTATAAGAATAATTTCCTCACCTAAAATGGAGCAAGGCAGGCCCTTTTTCGTTACAGGTATTCCTTGACTGACAACCATTTGTTTAGTGACCGTTCAAAATGACAATACCAGTGGAAAAAACTGACTTATGGCTGTTGGTCATGTTCACTGCAGCATCCCCAGGGTCACGTGATCAAAATTCGGACGCTTGGCGACGGGCTCGTATTGATGACGGTTGCAGTGTGTCCCCGGGTCACGTGATCCCCTTTTGCAGGGGTAGGCAACCTTGGCTCTTTTATGACTCATGGACTTCAACTCCCAGAATTCCTGAGTCAGCCATGCTGAGGGGAAAGGGAGAGGTTTCCAAGCTGAGCCATGCTGGCTCAGGAATTCTGGGAGTTAAAGTCCACGAGTCATAAAAGAGCCAAGGTTGCCTACCCCTGCCCTTTTGTGACCTTCAGGGAAACAAAGTCAATTAGGGGAAGCCAGATTCACTTAACAACCGTGTCACTAACTTGACAACTGCAGTGATTCACTTAACAACTATGACAAGAAAGGTCATAAAACTCACGTAATAACTGTCTCGCTTAGCGACATAAATTTTGGGCTCAATGGTGGTTGTAAGTTGGGGATTACACGTGTAGATAAGACTGAGAAACCGTCTCATTTTGGAATCACCCTTTCCCTGACTAATGTCACCACATGCTACACATGTCCTGCCCTTGCAACCTGGGAGACACACATAGCAAATGTTGCCTTTTAGTGCCTTTCCCTCCTTCTAGACCTGTAGGAAATGACTAAAATGGGCTCCATCAAACCAATTCATACAGTACAAAAGTGACACACGATGCATTTGGATGGAGAAAGAGCGCAGTAGGAGAAGAATAGAATAGAATAGAATAGAATAGAATAGAATAGAATAGAATAGAACTCTTTATTGAGAATAGAATAGAATAGAATAGAACTCTTTATTGAGAATAGAATAGAATAGAATAGAATAGAATAGAATAGAATAGAATAGAATAGAATAGAGTAGAGTAGAGTAGAGTAGAGTAGAGTAGAGTAGGGTAGGGTAGAGTAGAATAGAGGTGGAAGGGACCCTGGGAGTCATCTAGTCCAGCCCCCTGCTCAAGCAGGAGAACCTACACTAGAAGCGGTGGATGCTCCAACACTGGAGGTTTTTAAGGAGAGATTGGTCAACCATTTGTCTGAAATGGTATAGGGTTTCCTGCCTGAGCAGAGGGTTGGACTAGATGACCTCCAAGGTCCCTTCCAACTTTATCTTTATCCTTATCATCATCATCATCATCATCATCATCATCATCATCATCATCATCATCATTATTATTATTATTATGTTTGAGTGTCATGCAAATAGCAGGCAAGGGAGATACAGGTAGTCCTCAACTTACAATAATTCGTGTAGTGACCGTTCAAAATTACAACAGCAATGAAAAAAGGGACTTATGACCGTTTTTCACACTTAGGACCATTGCAGTCATCCCCGTGGCCACGTCATCAAAATTCGGATGCTTGGCAACGGGTGCATATTTAGCACGGTTGCCGTGTCCCGGGATCATGTGATCAGCTTTCGCAAACTTCTTGACAAGAAAAGCCAATGGGGCAAGCCAGATTCTCTTAACAACGGTGCTACTAATTCAACAACTGCAATGGTTCACTTTTAACACCTGTCGCAAGAAAGGTCATAAAATGAACAAACATCTCACTTAGCAACATAAATAAATTTGGGGCTCAATTGTGGTGATAAGTCGGGGACCAGCTGTACACATTCAATAAACAGTACATCTCCACCCCGGGTCACCCCAACGATGCCCTTGACGTGATGGCCCGTTGCCTGGAGGCCGTACGGGTCTGGATGGGAAGGAACAGACTCAGACTCAACCCTTCCAAGACCGAGTGGCTGTGGCTGCCGGCGCCCCGGCATAGTCAGTTGGTTCCATCGCTGTCTATAGGGGGCGAATTTTTGGCCCCCTCAGAG